TTAATATTAATTATAAGGGTATTTTACTAATTTACCATCAAATTTGGGGTAAGGATGGCAATTTTCTTTGTCCCCGATGGATACCCAATTTCCATGACCCCATAGGAGATTGTTTTGGTGGGAACGGGGATTGATAGTGATACTTAACCAAGGGCAGGGACAAGGATGGGAAAATGAATTCCTTGCCTCGCCTTGACCCCAATTATATATAATATTATTTATATTATATATAAAAATATATTTGAAACATTTGTATATTTTAAAAAATGTTCCTTATTTTAAGTAAATCTATTTTCTAAAATGAATTTAATTTAAAAACTCTGGGATTCACGTCCCAATGGGGAACTCGTCTCCATCATTGATCAAGGATGGAGGGTCATTTTTATCCTCGACAAGGATTGGGGCTAGGCATGGGGATTTATTTTAAAATCGAGGATTGAGGATGGGGAGTATTGTCCCGAACTCGATATGGGTCAAGTTTGAAGGATTATATACAAACCCCATCTTCGTCTCATTTTCAATTCGGGGAGAAAATATTTTCCACATACTTACCCAATCCTTATTTAAGATCAGAGAAGCCCATCCCATTCGGGGTGGGGGCCTTAGTTTTATAGAGAAAATTCCCATCCCTAACCTAAATTAAAATTATCTAAATTAACTTATCCAAATTAGCATAAACTAAATTATTTGCCCACAAATAAAAAGAGGAATTTTGTCCATTAATGTTTTAGCAACTTTACCCTGTGGGTGAGATTATGAGTATCATTAGAGGTGTAAATCGTGTTGTGTTGCCCACAACTCGGCACGACACGACACGACAGCACACGGGTCATGCTAGGCCCGGTACAATGGTCTGGGGCTCCAATTCCACGGGCCGGCACGGCCTACAGGCCAATAGCAGGCAGCGCTCGGCCCACCTACCCCAACGGCTAGTTTCAACTTTTTAGGTTTTTTTACAGAAATATCCCAACAGTTATAAACAACTATATAGAGGTGTATTTATGTATTTTGGTTTTGGAGGGAGAAAGAATGACACAAATGCCTCCTAACGGCTATATAACAACTAGTTTGGGGGCATTTTGGGTAAAGTGATAAATACCTTTACAATGACCAAAATGCCCCTCCCAACAACTAAAAAATGACTACTTTTTAGGGTACTTTGGGTAATTGAATTATTTTCAATTCCTATAGATAGCCTTATCCTCTATCATTCTCATCACATCAATTCAACAATTCTCTTAATATTTTCTCTAGTTCTCATACTCTCTCAAGTCTCAATCTCTCAATCTCTAATACATTCTCTAATTCTCCAATTCTCAAATTTATTGAAGTTTCAACAAGAAGAAGGCTTTCTTAATAGCTCAAGTATCTCAACTCTCAAGTTAGCAATTTAGGAGGCTTGGACTCTTGGAGTTGAAAGGCTTCAACCGTTGAAATCAAGTTGGAATTCCGAACTAGCAATCCAGGTAAGTGCAATTAAATTAATTTTTATTTTTTTTAGAATTAAAAAAATGGTCGACTCCTCCCAATCCCCAACATTTTCAATGTCAATTATATTCAGTCACAACATGGTAGTATTAGCACCGATATGGATGCTATTGATATTGACAAAACTTCTACCCCTAGCACTAATACTAGGGAAAAGAAAAAGAATGCTACTAAGTTAATTAGCCTAGTTTGGAAAATATTTAAATTAGAGAAGATTTAGGGGAAGGGAAAAAGAGTTGTTTGCCAAAAATGTAGGAAAGACTTTAAGTATTGTAGCAATGGTGATAATGGCCATTTGGGCAGACATTTAATCACCCATGAGAAAGAAGAAGAAGAAAAAGGGAGAGAAACAACACAAACACAAATTGAGCATGGGATTTTGGTACATTTAAATATTCTCAAAAAAAAAGAGGCAAAGATTAGCAAAATACATTATACATGCTAAACAACCATTTTTGTTAGTTGAAGATAATAAATTTGAAAAATGGTTACGAAATTTTGTAAATCCACAATTTAAAAAAGATTATAGGAATACTATTAGATCAAATGCTTTAAATTTTTGTTATTCATATAAACAAAATTCAATTTATATGTTATCAAATCTTAATTCTAAAGTTGCAATTACTTCTGACATTTGGACTTCTAAATTTAACATAAGTTATATTTGTATTATTGGTCATTTTATTGATGAAAAATTGGCTTTTAAATAAAAGAATTTTAAATTTTACTAGGCTTAAATGGCCACATACTAGCCCAACTATTGCTACTAGTATTTTAAATACTTTACATGCTTATGGAATTGACAATATATTATTTTCTATTAGTTTTAATAATGCTAGTAATAATGATTCAGCAATAAATATTTTAAAATCTCAATTAAAACCATGTTTAAATGGTAAACTATTTCATATCAGGATGCTTTAAATATTATTTCTACTCATATTTCTAAAATTATAAATTGTATTATATATGTTAAAAGTTCTAGAGCAAGAAAACAAGAATTTAAATATTTATATCAAATTTATGGTTTAAAGTATAAACATTTTACATTAGATGTTAAACATAGATGTAATTCTACATATGCTATCTTGGAAAGTTTATTTCTCACGAACAAATTTTTATTGATTTTTATAATGCAAAAATGCCTACTGATGTTATATTTGAGGAAGACTGAAAACGGCAATTTTTATAAGAGATTTTTTAAAATATTTTTATAATGCAACTAATAAATTATCGAGCATTTATTATCCAACTAGTTGTAATTTAGCTTATCAATTAATGATAATTAGTGATTGTTTTGCAAAAAATAGAAAGAATCAACAATTTAAAAGTATTGTTGAAATAATGGAAAATAAATTTAAAAAATAATGGAAGAACATTTCTCCTCTTAGCTACAATATTAGATCTTAGGATTAAGAAATATGGTTTAGATATTTTACTTGAAACATATTGTGAAAATATGAATATTGAAATTTGAAATAAAAAAGAAGAAATTAATAGTTTATTATTTGAAATGTATAGTTTATATGAATATGAAGTAACATGGAATAATAAAAATTTTACAACTTGTACAACTGCATCTTTCACTTCTTAACTTGAGTCTAGTAGTGGAAAAGAAAAAAAATTTATTTAATAAGTAAGAGGTAGAAATCCATTGCCTCGACAACAAGTTCATTTACTGAACTTAATTTTTAGTTACAAGCAAATTTTCTACTTTAGGTGATTTTTCCTTCACCTCGGAGGGAACAAATAATTTTGATATTTTAGCATGGTGGAGTGAAAATGTAAAAAATTATCCAGTTTTTGCCACCATGGCATGCAATCTACTAACCCCTCCGATGTCTACAATTCCATTGGAATTTTGTTTTAGTGCGGGTAATAGGGTGTTGGATGACAAGAAAAGCTTGTATGAATGATGAAAGTCTATAGACGTGCATCTGCTTTAAAGATTGGCTGGATGCTGAAGATAGATTACAAGATAAAGGAGGGAATGACACTACACCTGATGTTTCACCTAAAGCAGATGATCAAAGTCAAGGACAATAGGAAAATTTGATGAAGTCAATATTTTTTGTATACTCAATAGTTGTATATCATTTTTTCAAATTATTGTAAATTTTGTTTTAATTTATTTGATATTTTTTTAATAACATAATTTTTTTATTTTCAAATTGTAACTATATTTGTATTTTTATATTTTATTAATTTATTCCATTTTCCAATTTTCATATTTCATTCATCCAACCATTGTATGCTTTGTATCATTCAAATTTAAATGAAATAAAATTCCTAATTTTCTTTCAATTTGTTATTCACTTTGAGTTTTTGCTTCCTTGGCTTCTTATTAGGCCTGTTCATGGGTCGGGCCGAGCTTAGGCCAGGCTTTTGCTCTTCATTAACAGAAAATTTTCAGGCCCGAAACCGAGCCCATCCCGACCAACGGACCTACAACTTGGGCCCGAGCCCGAAGCTCGACCTAGAAGTCTGAGCATCGGTGCCTTAATTCGCCGATTCCTGGGAGTTTGAGAATGAGAATGAAAACTGAGAAAGTGAGAAGATAGAAGATGAAAACAGTGCCAGCCAGAGAGAGGGAGAGAGCATTCACCGCTGGAGAGAGAGGGAGAGACGACTTAGTTCTGGTAGCACAGGCCACTAGTGCTTGAGTTCACAAAGTGAAAACGGTGCACCTGGGTTCACTGGTTCCAAGAGTTTCAGAGTGAAAAACTAAGAATGATAAGAAAATGAGAAGATAGAAGATGAAAACGGTGCCAGTTGGAGAGAGAGAGAGAGGACCTAGTTCTAGTGGTGCCGGCCGTCGATACCTAAGTTCGAAGAGTGAAAACGGTGCGCTTGGGTTTGTCAGTTCTGAGAGTCTGAGAGTGAGAAACTTAGGATGAGAAAGAAGATAAGTTAGAAGATAGAAGGAATTTAGGGTTTAAAGGTTAAACTATATAAAAGTCGGGCCGGGCCGGGCTTTTTTGACAAATCCCGAGCCCGGCTTGAAAAAAATCGAGCTGGGCTTTTAGGCCCAAGGTCAAGCCCGCGAGCTAAAACTGATGCTCAAGCCCGTCTGGAGGCCGGCCCGACCCATGAAGAGGTCTACTTCTTATATGGTTTAGTATTTTTTTTTTATTTTTTTGTTAGATTTCTTATTTTTTCAAAAGAAAGTTAAATATTTTAGTTTTACTTACCAAAGAAATAAAATATCAAAAATGTCAAAAACAACAAAAAAAACCAGTCTGTCTCGGTTCGGCCCACGCCCAAGGTCCGTGAGATGGCACAAACCCCCATGGGCTTGGGTTGTGGGCCATGCCGGGCCGACCCCCCAAATTATCCATGGGAGGGCGGCACGACCCGTTTTACACCTTTGGGAAGGAGGTATTTGCAAAACTTTTTAAAACTTTGGGAGGATTTTATAACTATCAAAATATAATGGAGGTTTATAATATTGTCAGAAAATCCGGAAAGATTTTCTAATTTACAAAAAAAAAGGAAAAACTAAACAGAACCCAATCCCTAATGGTAACGCCATGTTTTGATCAACAGCTGACAACTGCCGCCGCTGCTTCTCTTTCTGGAGGAGGTTACACCGACCATCACCACCACTACCACCACCAACCGCTGTCACCGCTGGTTAAGAAGAACGTGAGAAGAGGTCGAGGAGTTGAAGAGGTATAATCTTCTGTTTTCATTCTTTCGTTTTTTGGTTCATGACAACCCTAAGTTCCTAATCTTTCACTTTACCTTTTGGTGTTAGACTGATCGGTGTGACAACAGGAGAGGAGCTTTAACGTTACTAGTTCTTCAGACCATCATTGCGAACTTGGGACGACCGCTACCCACCGAATGGTAGGACATCCGAGACTGCTACTCCAATCACTGTAATTTTGATTGTAGCCAGGTATAATTTCCTTTATCGTTTTTTTTTTTTAAATTTTTGAAGGGGGGGGATATATAGCATCCCTGCTCAACCATCCGTTTAAGCTCAAAAGTTTTTTTTGGTTGTTCTTCTTCTTTTCTCCAACACAGAAAGAGGGTTTATTCCTCTTGAATCCATGGTTCGCTTCATTTTAATAATTTCTTCTTCTTCTTCTTCTTATTCAAATTTCCTTTATGTTCTTTTTTTTTTACGTGGGAGAAAAAAATATAGCGTTCTTGTTCAATTATCTGTTTGACCTTTTTCGGTTAAATCCAGTTCATCTGGTCGGTTTCATTTTCAACACATTGCTCTGTTGCTATTCTATGTAAATCATTTTACCGTTTCTGTAGCAGGTAGGTCATAGATAAATTCAGGGAATCGAATCAATACGAATTGGGTAACCAATTGTTTAATCGAATTGAAGGATATGAGAATTTATAAACCGGTCTGATTGAATTGAATTAGGATACTGTCAAATATCCGTTTGCAGCCCTAGCTTGGTTTTGGCTTTTGATAATTTTTATACGGACTCAAATAGATAGAATATTTTGTGTACAGATACTTGTATATTTCATTGTACATTTTGTAGAAAGGCATTTGATGGGAATTGGAATGAACTAGGCAGTGTTTTAAAAGCGCAAGGTGCAAAAAAAGTGCAAGGGCCATTTGGTGCCTCAGGTGTGACCGTGTGAGGCAAGACACATGCCTTTCTGAAGCAAGTTGCAAAAATGCAAAAAGTGGTAAAAAATTCAAAAAAAGCCAAATTGAAAAAATGCAAAATATTAAACACAATATTAATTAAAAATATAAACTTAAATTTTAAAATAAATGTTTCAAAAACCTATTATCTCAAATTAAAATATGTAAAGATAACATATAAAACATATTTAAAATGAAAATTTAAAAATAAAATCAAGAGTAACATATAAAACATATTCAAGCATGCAAACTCTTAATCTCTTTGTTGTTTTCCCAATTGGATTGCTTCAAATAGCTAATGTGATGGTAAACATTATGCATTCTTGACTCTACGAGCCGCCTTTGTAGTAAGCCCAAACAAGTCCATTAGGGTCTTAAATTTTTAATCCCTATAAAAAGTTTTTATAACTTTAAGTGTCTTTTGAAAATATCTTTTATTAGGATGAATGAATAACATTTTAGAAAATATGGGGTTTTCGGAGGTTTGGTGAACGAGAGTCCTTGGCCCACCTGCTAAGCATAAAAAACAGAAAAAATGTACAAATTTTCAAAAGGCGTGTGCCTGGGCTGAAGCACAAAATGCACCAGGTGCACTAGGTATGCGCCTTTTGAAAGTGCTGCACCTTGGACCTAGGCAAGGTGCATACTCTAAAATGTGCCTTGGCTGTGTGACTAGGTGCACTTTTTAAATCACTGGAACCAGGGGAAGTCGTTCCATTACCAAAGAAAAGTGGATCTCATGCCACCTCTCTCTCCCTCTCTCACTCACTCTTGTGCATATGCCTATTATCTTTCTCATTTGTGTCCAATTAGTTGCATATCCTTTTTTACTGTTTTTTTAACATTATGTACATGCAAGCATGTGCAAGAATGAAAATAGTCATTCATTATGTGTGTGCAAAGAGGGTAAAGAACAGATGGGTTAGACCAAGAAAAATAGGAAAAAAACTGTGTTTCATTGCACAAACAGCAACAGTAGGGGGGAGCAGATCTCTTGATCCAAAACAAGAGCATGCAGTTGCCATTCTACTGCCTCTTGATGTAAGCAAAAGTTTCATTTTTTTTTTTCAATTAATAACTGTTAAAAACTTTAGTAATTGTGAGGAAAAGATAAATATAAGTTCAAAGCCTATTTATATGGGTAGCCAACCTTGGCTAACCACCACTAAGACTGTCAATTGCAATTTCCCCTTGATGTTATACCCCAAAACATCTTATCTCTTGCGACCCCCTGTTTTGCTAGACCTTAAAAGTGTCTTTTACAAACCTGATTAGTTATTTTACTCAGAATGAGAGCAAAATGATGTTCCACAGATAAAAAGTTTACTTGTAGCACCGAGTAAAGTAGTGTTGAACCAAATGACATAAGAGTCAAACTGGAGGTAAAATGCCCTTTTTCGTTGAAATAGTATTCTAATAAAGATTTGTTTACCATCAAGTTTGATGGTTTCTTTCAAAAAGTAACTTTTCTTGCTTTGGGTTTGTTTTTGTATATGACACCTTCAAATTGTTTCAAATTTACCTACATGGATGCTATTGCCATGGCTTTGTTGAAGGTTGTTGCATCTTTTTTCATGTTCTTGAGCCTAGTTGTTGTTCACATTCGTAGGACCTTTTTGACCTGTTGCTTCCATTGTAGGGTTTGGACGTTGTTGAGACAAATGGATAATAGGCATTACATTTGGGTTAGCTGAATGAGTACTTTCATTCTTTTCAGGAATACTGGATTTTGATGGTTTAGGATTTGTTTGATGCAAAAAATGAGTAGAATCAGTCATCAAAAAGATAAATATGGCTTAGATTATGAGCTTTCCAGAGATAACTGTAATGAAGGAACTGCTGCTCGGACAAGACCTTTTAGCTTTGAGGAGATTATGCTAAGAAGGCAAAACAAGAAACCGACTTCAGATGCCAAAGAGGGAACTGGAGAGCTAGGGAAGCTATCAGTATCAGGAAAAGATAATGTTGAAAGTACTCATTCTGAAGCGGCTGGAGGTTACAAATGGAGTAAGGATGCTATTGCTATGAATGCTTCAGAGGATACTGCCAAGCGAATCTCAAAAAATCAAGAAGGAAATACACCCATAAAGAAAAGTAAGCTCGTTAAAGATAAGGATGATGGGAGTCATGACATAGAAAACAAATTGTCAGCAAGATCCAACAATAATATGGGCAGTAGATCCAAAGGGGACAAGAATGAAAAGCAGAGTCAACTCAAAAGCAGAAGTTATGACCGAATGAGGGATTATTTTGAAGATGAATCTGAGAAGAGGCATTCCAAGAATACAACAGTGAAGGACAAATATTCAGACAGAGATAGAGGAAAATCTGAAAGAGAAACCAAAAGAAAGCAACGGACAGGAGATGATGAGAAGAAAAGGTCAGATATAAATGGGAGTGATGTAAAGAAATATGATTCTGGCAAATGGCATGATTCATCAGAACCTTCAGAAAGAAAGGGCAGGAAAGAGTCATCTCAGTCCCGTTATGATGAAGGCAGGCAGAAACGAAGGAGGTCAAGGAGTCGTGAACATGATAGGGATAGAGACAGGAGGTCTCATTCACTTTCACCCAGGTCACACAAGCGTTCATCTTATCATGGGCAGGAGCATGGGGATTCTTCATTTAATTCTTCCAAGGACAGGCCAAGAAAACAGCATTCTGATGCAGATAGGCATAGGACATCAAACAATGGATATCCAAGTAGCCACCATCGTCGACATGGTGGTTCTACAAGTGGGCTTGGTGGCTATTCACCCCGGAAGCGAAGAACTGAGGCAGCTGCTAAGACTCCTTCGCCAACTGTCAGGTCACCAGAGAGGAAAACTGTTGGATGGGATCTTCCACCTAAGGATACAGACAATGCATCTGCTGGTTCCTTGCTAGTTAATTTTCAGTCTTCAAATCAAACTGTAACAACAAATATAGAACTGCCAAATGTTGTTCAAGCAACATTAAATGTGGCAAGAGCCCTTTCTGGAGTTTCTCCAAATACATTATCAATGACCAAAACTGAATCCATTGACTCAATTCAACTTACACAAGCAACCCGGCCTATGAGAAGACTTTATGTAGAAAATGTACCGGCCTCAGCCTCTGATAAAGCTGTAATTGAATGTGTAAATGGTTTTCTGCTGTCTTCAGGTGTTAACCATATCCAAGGAACTCATCCATGCATAAGTTGTATTGTAAGTGACTGATTTATCCTGTATACACAATGAACTTGGTCAGGATCATGCTTGTCGTTTCTATCTGGCATTTGGCATGCCTATTATCCTTATTACATGTTTCAACTGCAGATAAACAAAGAAAAGGGCCATGCTATTTTGGAATTTCTTACAGCAGAAGATGCCACAGCAGCTCTTTCTTTTGATGGAAGATCTTTCTCAGGCTCTATTCTAAAAATCAGACGCCCCAAAGACTTTGTTGAAGCAGCAGTAAGATTGCTAATTATGTTTGCATCTCTACAATTCTTCTTTGCAGAAGCCTCATTGCTTGTTCTCTTCTTTCATATTTATATTCAATATCTTTGCTCCAGAGAGATAAATATTTTGGGAATGGTGGATATCATCTTAGACTTGTCACAAAATTTTCTTGGATTTTCCAAGTCATGGGTTGATGGATATAATTGTAATATTAGAATTGGTGTTAAATTTTAGATTAAAAATGTATTTGCATTATCTTTTGTGCAACTCAAATGATTTCTGTCTTTCTTTAAGTCCTTAAAACATAAAATCCTTCGTTAGGTGGTAAGTGTTTTTTGATTAACGTAAATATTTGGTTCATAAGATTCTATTATGTCAAATAGAATCTAAGTTTTTAACTTTTGAAAAGATAATTGCTTTCCACTCAGCTTATCTCATCAAAATGCTCTGATTGTTTCCAGGTACAAGTTCTGATGTCTGATAGTGAATGTGAAAAGAAGAAAGTTCCAAGTTTGTGATTCTTGTTAGGGTTCTTCAGTAATAGAATTTATATTCTTTTGACAAGTAATAGAATTTTAGTGATAATGATCAATAATGAAATACACAGAGATTGCTTCCCATTTTTATTAATAATATTAACCCAAAATATGTCCTCATTGAGGTACTACAATCAAAATATAAATATTGTTTAGATCAGTAACTGATTAAAGAAACTTTACTAAGAAAATAGAGTACAAAAAATAAAGAGACTATATTTTTACAGGGGGTTCCATGTGTATTATGTGTTTCATCTGCTAATTATTTATTTATTTTTGACGAGTAACTGAAAAAAAGTTTTATTAAGATCTCAGAAAGATGTAGTTTTACAATCAGCCCATGTCAAAAAGAAAAAATAAAGAAAAATTACAATTGAGCCGAGTACAATTGATTCCTAGTAGATCCCTTGCTTGGCCAGATAACCCATTTGCAGATCTAGGCACACAATTGATCTTTATCTGTGTATTCCTTGCTAGCCATTTGAGCTGCCTTAAATCATTCCTGTACCCCCCACTGTTTTATCAGTATATTTTAGCCATTGTGTTACAACTTTGGAGTCATCTTCTATAATCAACATATTTAGATTCATTCAGCCCTGTATAATCCTGGGATTGCAACTTGAACAAGGCAATGTGTTTCCATCTCTCTAAAAACACCTCCCATTCCTGATGGCTCAGGGTTGCCAAAAGTATTTCCATCAAAGTTTAGTTTAATGTATCCCTCATGCGGTGTCCATTGTTTAGTGGCTCGAGTTTTTCTTGACAAAGGTGCAGGCACAAGGTAGTGATGGTTCCATCTTTATCTGCTAATGATTTATTATTGATGATAGGACTACAGATGGGCTGAATTCAAAGATAGAACAATGGAGGGATACTATAGAATCTGCTAGAATCTACGATAGTGGGCAACAACGTAGTTTAGTCTTTTTTCTTCATTATGCAAGAACACTCCTGTCCTACTTTTTTACAAACAATGACTAATATGTAATTTCTATATGACAATTGTATACCAATGTAACTAAGAAAAAAAATTTATAACATAACTATAAGACCAGGAATGCTATATGTAATAGAGTGTAGCTGAGATGTAGATGCTATGATCAAGGTTCAAAGTATCAACATGATATGCTCTGTATCAGGCGTATCGTATTGTACTGGCAGGGTGCTAATAAGCCTTTTTTAAGGCTAGTCCCAAAATATTATGTTTTATATGTCACGGGGCTAGTCGATGAGGCCCCATGTGGCGCTCGATGGGGTCGAGTAAGCCTACGAATGCAAGCAACAACATACAAAAGGCAACAAGCAGGCACAAGAATTAGACAAAAGGCACTTTGTATTGCATAAATTGGTGGCAAATACAAGCACACAATTTAGTGTCGAGGGGATCTCGTGCTTAACCTTTACATGTTACTGATTCACTCGACTACCTACCTCCCCTCAAAGAGTACGCTAAGCTTTTGGGGGAGTGACATAAAGAAACATGAAAATGGTGAAAAATCATACTACGGAATTACAAGATTGCCATTGGCATTCCCCCCAAACAAAATACATGCAATACCCAACCCAAGACACACTTGGACACTCGGATGCCATGCTGATGGCACTTGATGGCGCAACAATTTGGTCACTTGTGATAGTCTGCCCCACTCAATCCAGTCTTCGTCCTCGAAGACCAACTTCTGCTTGTGGTGTGAGTCTAGTGTTGGTCAAGGAGGATTCTTCAGCTGCTCCACGATCTTCTTTTCTTCCACGCCCATCAGTTGCAGGCGAATGCGGTTTCTGCTGATGCTAATGCTGGTGCTGATGTTGATGTTGGCGCTGGTGTTGGAATGGCTTTGGGGGAGACTTCCCAATCCATTCTGGTGCTGCTGTGAGATGTTAGAGTGGGGGTATTCCTTGCTGGCACGACACTGGCTTCGTTGTTGCTAGTCTCTTGGTACAATTGTAGGGCTGACAGCTGCTTCCCATGTTTTGGAGGGCTGATGTCATTGGGATCATGCATGGAGAATGCTCGTCCAAGATGAGTAAATGGTCAAGGTGTGGCATGAGGGCTGCCTCTGCTTGTGTCAAGAACAACTTGAAAATCATCCAAGGGAACCACAGATAAGTTGACTTTGCCTTTCCATGGTCCCACTTGTAGGTCTACTGCACGTGCCATGCCTTCTACTGCCTTGGCCCCCAAGTTGACGGCCTAGACCCACCTTGTTTGTTTGGTAGTGGTCAAGCCGAGTCACTTTGCCTTCGCAAGCGAGATGAAGTTGTGGGTGGCCCCAGTGTCCACCAATGCTTGGGTCGGCCTTCCGTCGAGGGTGATGTCTACATATTTCAGCCCCTTGTGAGCTTTGGTGGGCCGCTTGGATGTGGCTTCTTTCTTTACCATAGCATTTATCAGTTGGAGGGCACCTACTCTTGGTGCTGGTGTGGGCTTCTCCTCATCACTCCATCATCACTRAGCTTGGCGATGAGGGCATTGATCTTCTTTCGCATTGGATAGTCGCTAGTCCAGTGCTTTTCATTGCAAATGTAACAAGGTGAAGGAGGAGAGGCAGGTTTCCTAGTGTACCAGTGACCTTCATAGCTTTGGGCTCCCTGTGGCTTCTTTCCTTGTTGATAATTGTTAACCTTGTCAGTGTGCCCTGGTTTCTCTTGCGTAGAGGTTGATTGTTGATCTCCCCCACTCAAACTCATGGTACGTGGGCTGGATGGATTTTGGTCTTCTTCATTAGGTGTCCTTATATCAACAAGTTGCTCAGCTACGACCATGGTTGTGGCGAGGTCTTTCACACCATCCATGAAATTGAACAAGAGGTCCTTGTCTGACATGTCGGAGATCTCAAGCGTCAAGGCAGAAAATTCTTTGACGTAGTCATGTAGTGATTCTTGATGTCTGAGATTCTTCATTCTTCGGCGCGCCAGGTACTCCACATTCTCAGGGTAGAACTAACACTTGATCTCATGCTTGAATCTAGCCCAGGTGTCAATGGTGCGGGTGCCACGTTTAATGTCTTGACAACACCTACGCCACCATAACATGGCAATATCAGTCAAATACATAGCTGTTGTGCGTACCTGGGTTTGGTTGTCAATAATGACAGCGACAGAGAAATATTGTTCCATTTGCCACAGGAAATTGTCAAGCTCCCTAGCATCCCGAGTGCCTAAGTAGGGTGTTGGCTCATGGATCTTGATGTGCATGGGAGCTAGGGTGGCTGAAGTGCTGGTAGAGTTGGCCATCGCCCTTTTTAGGAGAGTCATTTCATCTCTCATCTCATCTAGTTGTAAGGTGGCGTGCATCTCTCTAAAGGCGCCATTGAATCACCCTTCTAGTTCGACCATCGCATTCTCAACAGTCTCCAGGTTGTGGTGTAGTTCATCGATCCGATCTCTGGTTTCACCTACTGTCGCCTCACAACGTAGGATGCGCATGTCCATGCTAGCTATCTGGTTGACTAATTTGTCACGCTTGCTAGATTTAGTTGTGCGGCCCTTCGGGGCTTGTGTCTTGGCAGGTTCATCGAGTGGAGCCTCATCGGTGTTATGGGCTTGGTACAGCCCGTGTAGTATGTCATCGGCGATATCGCGGTTGCTCTTCATTGTGCTGAATAAGGAGCAGTGGACAAGGTCCAATGTGCATGTAGGAGCTCCTGCTATGATACCAATTGTCACGGGGTTAGTGACGAGGCCCCATGTGGTGCTTGATGGGGTCGAGTAAGCCTACGAATGCAAGCAACAACACACAAAAGGCAACAAGAAGGCACAAGAATTAGACAAAAGGCACTTTGTATTGCATAAATTGGTGGCAAGCACAAGCACATAGTTTAGTGTCGAGGGGATCTCGTGCTAAACCTTTACATGCTACTGATTCACTTGACTACCTACCTCCCCTCAAAGAGTACGCTAAGCTTTTGGGGGAGTGACATAAAGAAACATGGAAATGGTGAAAAATCATACTACGGAATTACAAGATTGCCATTGGCATTCCCCCCAAACAAAGTACATGCAATACACCACCCAAGACACACTTGGACACTCAGATGGCATACTGATGGCGTGATGATGGCACTTGATGGCGCGGCAAATTGGTCACTTGGGACACTATCAGGCGTATCGTATTGTATCGGCAGGGTGCCAATAAGCCTTTTTTAAGGCTAGTCCCAAAATCCTCTGTTTTATATGTTAATAATCCATACTTAAACTTACCCCTTAGCCTTATTTTTGAAAAAGAAATTTAAAAAAAGGAAGCTTGCGGTACAAAGTACCAATATACACCCCTTCTGCCATATTGGGGTGTATCGTTACTTTGAACCTTGGCTATGATTGATGAGTGGCAAGACTTGAAAGGACAGAATTAGAAACAAGCATATTATGGAGGACTTAGGAGTAGCTCCAACTGGTGATAAGAGGAGGGAAAGATGACCAAGGTGGTTTTATCATGTCCATTGATGATCAATGATTGCAGCAATGAGGAGAGACTTG